CGAGATGTTACCGTGTTCGTGGGCTTCCACTGCATTCATTAATAACCCTATCTGAGCCTTTATTCTGAATTGTCCAGTTGGACTTCATTCCTTGGACTATTCGATTTGGGCTGCACTTTTAGCGTGTCAACACATTTCACTTTCAGTCTCAATTCAGACTTCTTTGACAAAGCATAAACGCAAACACCTTTCCTGCCATGAATTCTCACGCCAACTTGCTTCACTAATGCTGAAATCGCCTCAAAAATTTGTGATAAGCCAGATTCAAGCAGCATATGACAACCCCAAGATTTCCAGCACTTGATATTTATCCGAACTGCAGAATCAAGAAAAAACAATCCCACTGCACAAAAGAAAGCAATAATTCATTAAAGAAAAGAATTACTTACTAGTGGAATATTACATGCCACATATCCGGAGAGTCAAATTTCAATCAGAAGAAGAATCCAATTCTGTTTCGACTCAAAAAGCGATTTGTACGTAACTATTCTAAAACTGCAAATGAATTTAAAAGAAATAGGAGTGGAAACTGTGGTCTAATGAATGCCTCTGGCTGTGATTTTCTTTTCTTCTTTACCTAACCATTTCAATTGAATTGGTTAGGTAACTATAGTCATTTTGAATGTTACGCTACAAGACAACATTTTCTTGTGCCATAGTGTTAGGTGACAAAAAATTTTAATGTTGGGAAAGAGCTCATTTAAATAATTTTGTATGCATAGTAAGAAAAATTATAGATATAGTGGCTGACTTAACGGTACCATGTGTCGTGTGTGCTGTAAAACATGGTCGTGTGTTAAGGAAGATCACATGGTCATTCAAGGTGTGTGACATATGGAATATGTTCAAAGAAAATAATAGTTTCAATATCATATTAGAGTTAGAAGGCTAGCGGGCCTACTTCCATCTAAGATGGCTTTCTATAGAGATTTTTTTTTTTAATTTTTTTTTTTCATGAAGTTGATTTTGATTATACATAGGTGGTAATTCCTTCACCATTGATTTTTTGTCAAGAGATTAGGACTTTCAAAATTTAGATTATCAAAGTCAAATGTCATGGACTCGTAAAATAACACTCTTTCAACGCTCAACTTTCAAATTGAGAATATTTAATAAGTGGTATTGATTAAACTAGTTATCTGTATCAACTCAAGCAACTAATAATGAAATTAAAAAAGAAAAGCAAGAAAATATTGAATTTATTAATGGACGATTTCAAAGAGACTCTATCCGAACCAAGTATCAACAAGTATCTTAGAAATAAAACCGTTGATTTCATCTCTAATTACAATTAAAATCGAAATCGTTTCATTCAATATGAGATTTTATTAAAATTCAATAGACGATGAAATGGAGTGTTTAAATGTAAAAGAATTCTTGAAGCATAATATGTAACAAGTATCTAAATCTTCCATTAACCTTTTCATAGAATGTACAAAATGTTAAGAGTCGAAATTATTAAATAAAACTAAGTTAAGCGTATAAGCAAACATGAATCTCAATTTTTAGAAACTAGTGATTATATCAAGAAAGAGTTACGAAACCACATATTCTTAAAAAAAAAAAACACTACTCCAAAAATTATAACATCAAATAATGGGGGCCAAAGTTCATTTAATTATTAGGATTCACCATAAATTTATCCGCCAACTAATTGATGTGCTACATCATTGTTGCTTATTACAAGTTAAGCAATGATATTTAGCCCTTGTTTCACAAACATTATTTCTGAAAAAAGGAAAAAAAGAGTTTTGAATAGTGATTTTTAGGAGAAAATGTGGTTAAAAAGTAAGAAATTTTTTTCAATTTATGTGCAAGCTATTTTATTGTGTGAATGTGTAATTGATGATCTCAAATAAGGCCTAGTGAATCATTCCTTTTATCTACGTTTTTCATTTTTATTACTTAGAACCGAATCAGAATAAGCACATTCAGACTAAATTACAATATTCTAGTTCAGACCCATATATTTTAATTTTTAAAACCCCCCTTCCCCACCACCCACGCAATTGCATTAAAAGTCCTCAATCTTTGTTTATTGACGTATTGTTTAATCAAAATATCCTGTTAAGTGCTTTGACATGACGGTCAAATACTATGTCGCAATACTGTATTTATTGTTTTTGTTATCTAAAATATACGGAGGCACCATGTGATGGTATGATTTTGCAAGTGTGCAGATTGCAACAAGTAATAAAGTGGTTTATAAGTTTGAATATCGTTATATAGAGGCTAAGTATTTACTATCATTTTTTTACTACTAATCTAGTTTCATTCTACATTAATTTGGTAATCGATTATCAAACAAGAAGTTTATGTTCTAATTAAACTAATACTAAACTAATTTAATCTATCAAAGCTTAACGAGTTTGTGGAGAAATTTTGGGATTCAATGGTTTGATATTTTGATTTCACTTAGGTTATACAACATTTATTCAATTCAAATTCATTCAACTCCTTTTGCATATGTATTAACTACCGAATAAACAAATTTTAAACATACGATAAGTAATTAATCATATAGTCAAAGTTGCATAAAATCAACTAAATTAAATAAATATTATCATAATCTACGTTTTTCATCCTAGCAACAAATAATTTAGTCAAACATATTATTGGAATTAAATAATTAAAATATTAAAAGAATCATCGAGTTCAATACAAGGAATAAAAAAAGAAAAAAAAGAATCATAGTAATTGTTTTTCTTTGAAACTCAATTCTCTACAATGGATCATCAAATCTTCTCTCAACGCTTGTATATCTTCCGATCAATTGTATTTTTCAACTTTCAAATTTCAAATTAAGATACAAAATTTAAGAATTTAATATATTTTGATATAATTTTATCTCAAGATTGATCTCTAGCCTCCACTTTTTGTTTGAAAGAAAGATTTCCATTTATGTACCTCAACTTAGGTCTAAAATAGAGTTTCAAGATGATAGGAACCGCAATTTTAGTCAATTCCAAATTATTAGAATTTATACTTTCACTTGTGTGATTTGGTACTCATTTTCTCTTTTTGTTAAGAAGAGTCGTTAGATATTACAATTGAGGTCCTTCAACTTTCAAACGTAACTCTTTGATCTCCAACTTCAAGAATATGTCTAAGTTTAGTTTTCATTTTTTTTTATCGATTATCATTCATTTTTGTCCGTTCTCGTCCAACAATAGGTTTTCTCCTAAAATAAGTATATAAAGTTAAGTATCTCATTCATAAAATTACTCACAAAAATCACTTTTAATGGTCAGAATAAGTGTAATATTTAAACTAATCAAACACATCAAAACTTAAATATTTATTCGTCCTCGAATAAAGTAAAATAGTTTTTTTTTATCGATTATCATTCATTTTTGTCCGTTCTCGTCCAACAATAGGTTTTCTCCTAAAATAAGTATATAAAGTTAAGTATCTCATTCATAAAATTACTCACAAAAATCACTTTTAATGGTCAGAATAAGTGTAATATTTAAACTAATCAAACACATCAAAACTTAAATATTTATTCGTCCTCGAATAAAGTAAAATAGACACTTAACTGGACTATATACAAATATACTCAACTCAATACACTTAATTCATTGTTTCTTAAAGTGAATAACTAAATCACAAAATTTAAACAAGTTATGAAACACAATAATTAACTATTATTTCATAAACTCCACAAATCTTATATTTAACTTTTGAATATGGGTGTAATACACTCTCAATTCAATTAATGCTATTTGAAACAAGTCATGTATTCTAGCTTTCAAAATTTCTTTTCCCGAATAGTACAAAATTTAATGTACGTCAATAGTCTCTCGTAACTCGTATTGCTTTCTTGATTTTTCAATTTCTTTTTTGATGGTGAACTAAACAAGTTATAATAGATTTATTTTCATCATCAATTCAACCAATCTCCACATTCCAAATCGAAGACCAAGACATAGTTGGTACTTATAGTTGTTTTGCTATTCTTCGACACACTTTCGTGTGTATCAATTTTTTTCTTTGTACTATGGCCATTCTTCATTTTGGGATTCTTTCAAGTTTTTGAAAGTAGTTTTCAATTTATATTGTAGGCAGCCTTCTTCTCTGATGATTTCTCTCCTAAACATTGGTATTGAGTAGAGTCAAATTATTCAATGCCAGTTTCACACTACAATGTAGGTGACTTTTTCCTATGTCTCATCGCTAGCAAAATATCTTTCACTTTTTTTTATCCACGATAAGAATCAAGAAATAGTTTAGTTGGGATGTTCTTGATTTTGAATGAATCTAATCATCGTAATCTTATTCTAAATGGGTTTTTAATATGATTTTAATTTGGTAAATACGTACTATAGTCTTAATAGATTTTATAGTTAATTTACACAACTAATTTTAAAGTTATCCATGAGCGTAATTAAGAATGAATTTTTGTTCAATTTGTTCAAATGCCAAATATAAAATAATGAAATTCGTGCAATAATTTAAAATTCAAGAGTTATCATGATTTGATTCAAATTTTTTATTATAGATAAACACAATATTATCACTGAATATGAATCACTTTGTTCAAGTTAAGTCACACAAGCAGCGGCGGAGCCAGGAATTCATGGTACAGGGGGCAAAAATTTTTAAAAATTTAATGTACAAACTACAAATAAAATTTATATATAATAAGAAAAATTCATAATATAAGTTACCTATCGTAGTTGTACCCGACGATGTTTTAAAGCATAAAATTCATCTACAATAGAATCTAGATCTAAATTCATACTAAATTCTCGCTCAATATTTAGTGTTAAACAATCAGCAAGAAAGCCATCATCCATTTTGTTATGAATTTTCGTCTTCACATGTTTCATTGCTGAAAATGCTCGCTCCACAGTCGCCATTGAAACAGGTAGTGTGAGTACTAAACAAATCAATTTAGTCAAAACGACGTAACTCTCCGACCTTCTACTTACAACCAATTCTCGACATAAATCAGAAAGTGTACGTACTTGAAATCGAGGTTCGGAAATCACATTATTCTAATAATGTTGCAACTCAACTTTCAAACAATAAATATCTTGCTGTGAAAAATTTTCAGGATAAAACTTCTCTGCAAGCTTGCAAATATTATCAATGTTAAATGATTCAAAAGAATCTTTTGGATCCAAAACTGCACTGAGAGAAAGGAGTTCTAATGATGTCTCATTAAATCTTGTATCTAACTCCATCATCAGAAAATCAATGGCTGCATTGAAAATATCAAAGTGATAGTGATGTTCAACTGTAGGATACTCACGACCACGAGAACGACCAACCATATACGAAGCATCAAAGTCAGGTACATGTATATCATTTTTTGAGTAAAAACATTTCACCTCTTCAAGAAATTCTTCCCAGCCATCTTCTCTCAATGTTTGAAGGATAGTTTTTGTAGTACGGACAAATCTCATAGCAGTCAAGATGTCTTGAGTTTTCTTCTGAAGGGTCTAACAAAGCACATCCGCAATTGCTAATATTTTACGCATTAAATGTAAAATAAATACAAATTCAAATGTTGTCATGGTTTTGTACACACCACCAACTTCGGACTGAGATCTTACATTTGGAGAATGATCACTAAGATACTCAAGCACCTTGCAAGTTGCAGCATACATATCAATCAAACTCTTTACAGAGCTGTAATGAGAAGACCAACGAGTACCTCCGGCTCATTACAAATTACCAATCTGATTAGCACCACTTCCGGACTCTCGTTCTCCAATTTCCAACAAATGCTCAATTTCTTTTCTTTGGGCACTTTTCAACTCATTGATGCGCTTAGGAGATGATGTAATCATATTAATAACACTATCCAAATGAGAAAAAAATGAATGAATATCTGAGACATCCCTAACTACAGAAATCAATGTGAGTTGTAAACGGTGGGCAAAACAATGGACATAGTATGCATATAGACAATCTTTAAGAAATAATGCCTGTAGTCAATTCCAAGAACCACGCATATTATTAGCACTATCTTACCCTTGGCTCCCAATTTCGCCACGAATTCTTTGTCGGACTTTGTTGGCCATAATGTTCAAAATTTCTTTTTGAATGTCTGGAAATGTGTATGTAGCATTTTTGGAAGCATTACCCAATACAACTTTTCCTACTTCAATATTCATTTTTCCAAATGCATCCACCGGTTCAATGAAATTCCCACGATTTAGTGAAGAAGGAGATTCATCATGGCCTCTAAAGGAACAACTTTGAAGTGCTAATCACTTAACACTCATAATGGTGGTCTTTAGACGCAAACGATTTTTCTGAATTTCCTCATTTGATAAAGAATGCATTACCTTGTCAATATATTGAGTTGGTTTCATTAGATCTTCAGCACTTCTCTTACAGCCATTATGAAACGACGAAGATGTTGTACCAACATGAATAAGAAATGCACATTTACTTCCTTGGTTAACCCTCTTCCAACTATCAAACCCAATAGTAACCAACGATGAAATATTAGGTGGAGTACTCTCATTGAGAAAGAGGAAACAATAAAAACAATATGCCTTATGTGTTGAAGGCGAATATTCCAACCAAGGAAACTGATTGTACCAACGTTCCTGAAATCGACGTTTCTGCTTTCCACATTCTTTGCTCTGATACTCCAAAAGTTTTGGTTGATAAGGTCCAACATTTAGATAAGCTCGCAAGAAAAATCGTGATATAACGTTACCTATTATAGATGTATCCAACGATGTTAAAGGTTGATCTTCTTTCATATTAAATCTAAAAGCATAAAAAACAAGATACTTCAATATCACATAAAGGCATAAACTTAAATTGATAAAACCATAACCATATAAAACCAATTTACTATTTGCTATAACCTATGAAATGAGATTTTTCATCCAAAGTCAGAGATTGAGAAATGAGAACCAACCTTGAAAAGTTGAACCTCCTTAACCCTTTTAGCCTTTGGACCCTTTTCTTAGCAAATAGCACAATACTTCAAAAAATCAAAAGCATCACCTACAATTAAACAAAAAAATCCAAAAAAAACTATGAAAATAGTATCATAATGCCTATGAAAATGCTCCAGTGCTTCACCTAGTATTATACAAAAATAAACAATAGTTTTACTTTTAAGAATGTCATATAAATCAAAAATAAGTAATTTTTCTTAAAGCAAGCATCAGCAATCAGCATGAAAATTGGCTAAATATTAGAGACTAAACAAACGTATTCGGTAATTTCCAATTTCATCCAATCTGGACCAATCAGTTTCCACTTTCCACAGAAATCCAAGATTCCGATTTCTGTTCCAAATGTCAATTTTAATCACCACAAGACTCCACAACAGATCACCCTATGCATTAGTGAAAATTTGAGGGGAATTTATCAAACACATTAAAGGCATCCTATTTCACCCAAATTTTGAAAGAATTGGGTTCTAATTCAAAACCAAAATTCTCTCATTTCAAACTCACTGCTCACAATCAAAATCCAGCAAGTAACAAAACCCATTCTCATCAATTGTTCAAATTTTTCCAATTACAACAAAATGACAAATTATCTCTTTCATAAAAAGGAGGTCATAGAGAAAGAGATTATCTATTTCATTAGTGTGAACTGCGAAATACAAATAAATAAATAATTAATGATTAACTAACTTTAATGAAGATTAAAAATGAAGATTCAGTTTCAGAATGGAACCTCCAAACCTCGACTTAGTCGGCTGAAGCAAGAATGTGGGAACTGCCGAACTGGGAAGATGGGATGCGGTTGCGGCCTGCGGGGTCAAGCCAGCGAGTCGGCGGCACAGTGGCACTCGGCGACAGGCCGACGGGCGACAGCGGTCCAGGTCGGCGAGACGACGGCTACGGGCAAGGCCGGGAAAGGGGAAGAGATGTAGGGTTTTTGATTTTTGGGAATGATTTCATTTTCAATTGATTTTGCAAAACTTATAGTTCACGTGGTAAGGAATGGAAAGAAATGAGATAAATGGATTTTATCAATTGATACATTTAAGTGGGTTTGGGTTAAATTAGTGAGCTAAAGATTAAAACACAAAAAAAAATTTAGGTGGACTAGCCCACTGAATTAAATTGTTGGTGGGCTAATGTGGTTACATATGTACGATTGGACTACAATTCAAGCAAATTTTTTTTTTTTTTTTAACTATCTGGGCCTGGTCAACGGTGGGCTGCAGCCAAGTGAAGCCCACCTCTAAATCCGCCCATGCACACAAGTATGCAAGATAAAGTTGTAAATTATGTAATTTTTCATAAAAAAAAAAAAAATAATAATAATAATTTAATTTTTAAGTCAAATTTAAACGTTGATCAACCATACAAACTAATCATCTGTGCATATTAAATTGCAAGAAAAACTAGATTTTTCACCTAAAATGAATTCCAATATTGTCCTCAATGAGTCACTAAGAAGTCCCAAATATAGAAATTAAATAAAATGGAGGAACTTTAGACTCGTTGGATAAGTGTCAAATGATAGAATTGACCTTGAAGCTTGTGGAATAAAACTTTTCATGCCTCCTTCAAACGGATCTCTCATTTTTATTTTTTGCCAATTTTCCCTACAATAAAATTAAGTAACATTAATAACAATTATTAAGCAACAATTATCAAGATCCCTATCAAATTATAATTCAAACACATCAATTGCCTATCAGATCTATCTCAATTCAATATAAATAATTATAGAAGGGTCCAAAGGAAAAAATATCAAGATTATTATAAGTAATAATACTTTTGGCTGACACTTGAACTTTTGATGATTTTAAAACCTTGAATATAATGATGTTGAAATAATAGTGTTGATTGTGTGAATTAAAATGTCAAATACGTGAAGGAGTGGGAGAANCAACTTTAATCTTTTTGATTACTTACCATTCATTTTTATCCAATTCTCGTCTAATACCAGGTGTTCTCCTAAAATAATTAATACACGTATAAAAATAAGTGTCTTATGCATAAAATTACTTACAAATATCACTTTTATGGGCAAGATATTTACACTTATCACCATCCTAATAAATATTTTTATACAAAAAATCAATTTTATTGACAAGTGAACAGAAGGTTAGAGATAAGAATGTGATGAAATTTTTTTAGAGAAATAAGTGAGATGATGAATAAAGATTGGGAATTTTTTAGTGCAATTAAAAATTCCATGATGATAGTATAACCGCCCTATATATAAATGTGATATTTATGAGTTAGAAAAAAAAAGTTAATTGAAATACATAACTTGATTTAAAAGTTCACATAATAATTTTCGAAAAATATAATTTACATATGTTGAGAATGAAGAAGAGCTGATTGTCATTGTCGAATTTTATATCCCGTAAATGTATAAATCTTGACAAATAATAAAGTGGACGTAAGATCAAGTATTGATCACACGAGAAATAAGTATTTAGCTCTAATGAATGTAAAATATAATAGATAGATGAGGAGATAGTGATTATATTAACAGCTTAAAATTAACTAATGTAACTCACCTGATCTAGGTGAAAGGACGTGGCTGTGATTACTTGATTAATTAATAAAGTATTAGGATATTGTATTCCCCTACATTTATTCATCTTAACATCAATTTACAATTTGACAATAATTATTAGATAGGAAGATCAAAATTAGTATCATTTTCAATAGTCCTTCTCGAGATTAATCTAACCTATGCTCACACATGATCTGACAATATTTCTATTCCAAGTTTAAATATGCATTAAAAATACAAGAACATCACTTGCATCATGCAAGAATTAACCATATATCGAATGTTATCGCACACTATCTTCCCTATTCCTTCTCCCAAATGTCAATAAAAATCATACATCAATTTTATTAGTGGTCAATTAATTGAAAGTATTAAGAGCATAACAAACATTCTACACAAAACAATTTCTCAATGAATACATACAGTTCAACGTTATCCTAGCATCTAAATAACTAGCTAATACCATAATATTAAGCACAGTAATAATAAATACAACATCATTCAAAATTAGAATTTGGGAAGAAAGATAGGAAATTGTCTTAAATCTTGAATTGCTTCAAAGATTCTTTATTCCCTCTATTTCGATATTCTTCTTCTTCAATAATTAAGCAATAGTTGTGTAAAGATGTAAATAGGTGTCTTGCAACAATAGCTTCTTCAAAGCTTAAATAAATCTGTCAATTTCTCTCCAATTGTCTCTCTTAATTACGTATGTACAATTTGTGTATTTGAGCCTTTAAACATTCTCTCTAGTTTCCTTCTTTATTTGTAGATGAATATCCACATTTATAAAATAAGATTTAGATCAAATTCCTGACCTAGAAGGTTTTCATAAAATGTTTGATCGAAAAAAGGAAAGAAAATAATTTAAACAGGACCAAACTGTATGAACTTAAAAGTATAAGGACTGTTATTGCCTAGTGCACAAAATTTGGGCGCTACTTCAGCAATAACAATAATTGCAATCGCAGCCCTTGGGGGTTTGCAATTGCAACCCTATTTCTCTCATTGTCGGTTTGGTCCTCAGATTTTGTCCTTTTTCAGCCTGCATCCTTTCTTTTTTACAATCCTGGTCCTTATCTTTGAATCAATCTAAATTGGTTCTCAACATTCTTTAATCATTCGTAATTGATATTATGCAAGTTTCTATGAGTTTTCAATTAAGTCCCTAAACTTTTCAAACATCTAATTTAACACCCTAAAAGTTGTGAATCACTTCATATTGCTCCCATAAGTCTTCCAATTGATGAATTGCAACCTGATTGGTTATCAATCGCTCTGAATACGCTTCAATTTATCCCCAATTATATATTTTTTATGCTAAATGCATCCAAGTCAGGGATTTAAATATAATTATCATATTATACATTAATTAGATAATATCTGCTCAGTTAATGAAAAATAAGTAAAGAGGCTATAAATAAGTGCATAATATGCATTTATCAATTGTTAACATATTTTGAAAATAAAACTATAATGTAATACGATTGCATTTGATAAATAATATGAATATTAAGGAAAGAAGTAGTATAAATAATTTTGACAACTAATATAAGTTTAGAGAATTTCAAAACTCTTTATTTATAAAGAGTATCGAATATATATATATATATTCAATCATTTTAAATATGGTTTGAATAATTTAAGAAATAGAGTATTGAAATTTGTAACTCGTTAAATGTATTAAGAATAGGGAAAGCTTGACTCTCTAAATTTCTAGAACCAAACCCATTCTCTATTTTAAAAAGTTAAAACAAGCTCCTATTTGGGCTCTATTCTAATGTAATTATGGGAGAAAATGAATTTGGCATAACAATTTTTGGAGAATGTGTGATTAAAAAATAAGAAAAAGTTTTGAATTTACGTATAATATTATTTTATTGGACAATGTGTGGTTCAAAATAAGAAAGAGAAAAATGTATTTTCAAAATAATGGAGCCCAAACAAGGACTAAATTTTTTTATTTTTTTGTAGCTTAGTTTTAAGCATTAGTTCTTTAAAATGAATAGCATTTTATATTTTAGAGAGTCTCTTGAAAATGCTCTTAGACGTGAAAAGGAATGAAAGAATAGAGGAATGTGGTATCATAAGATTGGTTGCAAGTGTTCATCACTAATTGGGATAAATCGTTACAATCAAATTTAAAATATAGCCAAAAAAATATTATGAATAAAGAAGTGAGATGGCATTAATAATAATATAAATTTAACTATATAAATATTGAGAAAATATTAAAAAGGGTTTTTATATTGATATCACATTTGAATTATATTAAAAATCATTAAACTTTATTTATTATTACAGTTATATCCTTTACCTTTTTTTATCACATTCTTATTTTTAACATTTCATTAATAAAAAAAAAAAAATCTTGTCCATAATCATTATTTTCATCCAAAAATATTTTTAAGGTGCTTTAAACTAAGGGTCAAATATTTAATCACTTGCAGTATTATTTGTCTTGATTATTCAGAAATACAATGGGTAAATGAGTATTTTTTACTTTATATTAAAGATATTTTGGAGGAAAAACATAAACATGATTAAGTTATGTCAATTTGAGAATAATAATAAAAAAAAAAAATCTTGTCCATAATCATTATTTTCATCCAAAAATATTTTTAAGGTGCTTTAAACTAAGGGTCAAATATTTAATCACTTGCAGTATTATTTGTCTTGATTATTCAGAAATACAATGGGTAAATGAGTATTTTTTACTTTATATTAAAGATATTTTGGAGGAAAAACATAAACATGATTAAGTTATGTCAATTTGAGAATAATAATGCGATGAAAAAACAATTGAGATATAATTATGATAATGTGTAAAGTTTATGAACTTTTTATGTAATTATAATATAGTCTAGTTATTAAAAATTGTTATGTCAATATATTTAGCCTTATTGAAAACCTCCAATTGTAAGACTTATCCAACACTACACACTAGTGCCTTGTACCCAGTGATGGATCCATTTACTGGTGAGTTAGGGCGGCTGTCCTAACTGGATCCGCCAGAGTCTTCAATAGTCATCGGGATCGTCGAGTGGAAGTTGCTGTCTCCAGAAGTTTGAGCACAGAATGAAAGGGGAGATGACAGATAATTAAATTATGTTGCAACCGACAACTTGGTTTGAAGTTGCATACTTGCAAAGAGTTAACCATGGAGGAAGTCGAAGAGGCAGGAAAAAGAATTGAAGAAGATAGTGTGTCCTTTTTTTTTTTTTCTTTTTCCCTTTTGGGCTGATGACAATTGAATGGAATGGGCCTCTTTTTTTTAAAAACATTAGGCCCAAATCCAATTGCCCAAAATCCAAATCAATGAATCATTAATCAATTCATGGTCATTTTCAAATTTCAATTTCCCCCAAATCGTAAAAGGCAAACTTAAGGCGATTGGGAAAGGCTGAAGCTCTAATTGAAATCGCAAAGGTGCAAACTATTTACCTAATTGCCTAATTCCATAAATGGATAAGTAGTAGCATTTTATTCGGGGTCGCAGCTATCGTCATTTGATGTTAGAAGCTGGATGCAACAAATAGCCAATAACGGTATGTTCAATTCTTATTAGTTGATAATTTTACCTTCATGGTACTAGGGGGTTAACTATAATAATTTTTGATCTGAGAAATCCAATCTCTCTCGACTCTAGGTTGTAGCTTAGGTTTCCTTTTACTAGTTTTAGTTGTGATTGATGAGAAACTTTTCTTTAGAGATGTTAGATGTATGTTTAGAGATGGCGCACTCAATATTCAATTTTCTGGTACTTTATAAATAACTTTAAACAATCTAATAATACTTACGTACTAATCGTTATATGTCTGGTAAGAGACTATGTATATTGATCCTTTAATGCTATCGAATTATATTCACATGTAATTTTTACATTTTTGTGCATTTATATACGAAGAATTTTTAATATTATTTAATTAAATGTTAATAAACGACCTCGCTATTATAATCGTTGATTGTTGACGATCAACTACTACCCACCCTAGCCAACATCCATTCTTGGATTCACAACTGCTTGTATCATTCGTGCAAAAAAAGAAAAAAAAAAGTTATTGTTACATATATTGAAAACAGAAAAACTACAAATTTAATTTTAAAAAAAAAATGAAGAAGAAAACCATACATTCTTGGTGGAGAAAACAATGGGCGGAATATAGAAGAAAATGATTAAGGAAGTCACATCCTCACATGTGCAGGGGTTTCGTGGGAGTATGAGCGGAGTTTCAGGTTTTTGAAGAAAACAAGGAAAACTGCACTGTAGGCATGCATGTTCCAAGATTTGCCAACTTTTTTGTTAAAGCAGACTTGCAGAAGGAAAATGGTACCACCTCATTCATCCCACCCCAAACCACACCATAGAAATCCAAAATTGAAAGTACATAGGACCTTGTTATACCAACGTAGGCCTGACATGCGACTTGATAGAATATATGAGTTATAGGGTCGACATTTTTTTATTCATAGTGGGACCCATAATAATTATGAGAGTAGGTGAGTGCTTCGATGATGAATTTTCTGTCACCTTAGCAAAATCAATTATATAAAACCTGCATAACTGATCATTGGGACCCTTCAAATCCTTAATCAGGCTTCCTCTTTTTAACCTTCTAAAGCTGTAATAATATCCATATATTACTGTCATTGAATTTTATTTTTATTATTTTTTATTTTTATTATTATTATTTTTTTGTGTCTGAAAGTATTGAACAACTGATATTTATTAATTTATTGACATTCAATTAGGTTATATATGCGTAGACAAGAATTATTTTCTCATATTTTCAACAATATATAAATTTTTTCTCAAAAAAATGCGAGATGGACTACCAGGAAAGATAGATGGAGGTTTAAATACAGTTAAGTAAAACTTTTAACTAGATACGAATCTTTCTCTCACAAAAAATTTCGGTAACACTTCTCAAATTCCCATTTATATAATATGATTGCATATGAAATTCAGGACGTTCTTGAATGCTCGACTTCCCATGAAATTGATTGCTTAAATGCTGAAACTGGACATTGTCAAAGGTTACAATATGTAAGCAAGCAGAAGAATATTAATATAGAGCTTCACATGATCATGCCAACTACTAGCTACCTTATATGATCAATATACAAGAAAAATACGTACATACACCGGCACACCGCCATCAATATTTCTGAGTCTATCGTCACCAATGGCCTGACAGTGCCAAAACCCTTTTGTCTAATCTTCTTCTCCTTCCATGTGATCCCTTCTTCCTTTTCTCAATCATCATCTCTTTATTATTTTATTCTATCTTTTTCCAGAAACACTGATTTCTTCCTTTATTGATGATTCTCTCGGAGAATCAGGTTAATTTGATACATAAATAGTGCTTTATTTAGCATCCTTCCTGAAAGATTGTGGGAATTTCATCAGAAAGATACCTATATACGTATATTTGATCGATCAGATATTGATTTCACTATGGGGAGAGTGAAACTCCAGATCAAGAAGATTGAAAATACAACAAACAGGCAGGTCACTTTCTCAAAGAGAAGAAATGGATTAATCAAGAAAGCTTATGAACTTTCTGTTCTTTGTGATGTTGATGTTGCTCTTATCATGTTTTCCCCTTCTGGAAGAGTCAGCATATTCTCAGGAAATAGAAGGTAACTCTTCTGTTTTTTAGACTCGATAATTATTATTAGGTTAATTATTTTCTCTTTTTTATGTTTAAAGCATGGAAGAAATCATGACTCGATATGTGAATCTTCCTGAGCATGAACGAGGAAAGTAAGGATCAACAACTCAATTTTCAGGTTTAAATATATCATCTTTCATGTGCTGATACTGATGATTTTCTGTTTGTGTCTCATGAAACCAAAGGCTACAAAACCAAGAGGTAATACGACAAATAGTTTTTCAGTAGTTCAGATTAAATCTGTGGATCGATGTTTGTCTTTCCCATTCTGATCTTGGATTTTCATGGTTTAATAATCTTGAAATGATATTGATTAATTAAATTATTTGCAGTATCTGCAAAGGGCACTTGGCAAGTTCAAATATGAAGCAGATCGAACCTATCAACCAGCCAACAGGTTTATATATACGCATATATATATATATATATATATATATATATATATACTGACACCAACCCTTGCAACCCACAAATGTGCATTGTTCTGTTTTTATTTCTTATGCCAGATTTTTGCAATTTCTTACTGCGAAATATAAAATTGATTAAAGTTGCCAGAATCTTTTATAATTATGTCATAACTAGCTTCGTTTTCTTGATCCTGTTATGCGTAGCAGCCCAGCAAGCGTTGATTCTCAAGTTGAGGTATATGTATTAGTGTTAATTAAGAATATATACCCTCAACTTAGTTTGTATAATCACTTTCATTTTGGCCTCTGAATCCATCACTAATCGCCAACGTGGGTTAATTATTCCAGGAAATGCAACAGGAAATTCTTAAATGTAGGTGCCAACTTGAGCACATGGAGAAAAGACTGAGGTATATATTAAACATCGAATCCACTCTTGATCAAAACACATTAAACTTAGATTATGGAATTAGGAAGATTACTCATTATAAATTTATAATTCCATAGGATTTATGAAGGTGATTCGTCCGATATCACTACACTCTTTGAGGCCGAGTACCGGGAACAAATTCTTGAGGTAAACTTGAAGCAAGTCAGGATGCGAAAGGCAAGTTTCATCGCCCTACGTTTTATTTAGTTGATGTTTGATTAAAGCGGACTTGAGAAACAAAAAGAAGCTAAAATCATATTCGACAAACCATTCTAATATTGCATATCGGACATGCCCAAGGATTTCAGTATGCATCTTTTTTCCTTTTTCCAAAAAAATATTATACATACCCCCGTTTGGCTCCCATTTTTTGAAATGAAAATGGGTGGTATAATGCTTTTTTGATAAATAAAAGTGATTAAAAAATAAAGAAAAATTTTCAATTCATGTATAATATTATTTTATGGAAGATTGTGTGATTGAAAATAAGAGAGAGAAAAATGAAATGAAATTCAATGGAGACCAAACAGGGGCATAATATAAACTCATAGCTTGTTTGGTAGAGATTTTGATAATTGATTTTTTGACCGTTAGAGATAAAGTGAATTTTACCTGTGAGAGAATAATTCAAAAATAACGGCTGTAATAGTGAAATAACGGTCAAAAAATTGATTTTAATTAACTTAAAATTTGTATCAAACAAACACTCAATAAATTTCTGAAGCTTATGAAATTTTTTACATGGCCAGCAAGTTCTGCAGGACCAGTATAATTCTCCTGGTGCACAAACAACTACAGAGGTATATTATAAAATTTTGAATATGTTCTTGAGAAGAGTTGAATAACTACAAATGGGATTAGGCTAGGAAACTCAGAAATTGTAAGCCTAATATTAAGGCTCAAAGCTATGTCTACTATCGCATTTCAGATGAATTTGCCCCTAGAGACCACAAATCTATCTGATTTGGCTTCAACAAATGCAAACAATATTTTGGATTGGCTTCCTCAGAGGGATCCACAAGTCCAAATCCTGAATTTCTTGGATTCAAATGGCCTGCTTCCAGTGAGGTTAATGTTATATTTACGTCCATTATAATCCGATGTTAATCATGAATTAACGATGCATTTGATTGAGTCTTCTTGTATATACTGCAGCGAACAACCTCAACGTATGGATAATATCCTGTCACCATCCTTAACTGTCCTTCATGCACCAAGCGTGCTTGTCCATGATCATTTGAGTTCAGGCCGGAGGATTGAGGATGACACCCAACGACCAGATTTTGATCAAGTAATTGATGTCAATCTTTCTCCATGGACAGATTTATATCCAACAGGTAATTTGTCCACGATCAGCTAGTTACATGTATTATTTCTTTTCAGAGCTTAAGAAAAAGGAAAATAAAATCGAAGAAGGTTGAAAAGCCAAGTTCAAGTACACACTGGATGTAACTAGCTTATAGACATAGTAGTTCGTTTTTCATATCAGGTGTCTGCATGCACACATGCAGGCCACACGAGTGTATCCAAAGACTTAACCCTTGTTTTCTAGGGATTAAAATTGTATTTTTAGTAGATTTGGAATAAAAAGTTGATAAAATGTGTGGTTGAAAAATTATGGGTCCTATGAAATGTATGGTAAAAATTAATTGTTAATTTTGACTCAAATTTTAATCAGATTTTTTAGCGGTACGAAATAGTTCAGATGTAATGCACTCTAGTGCAGCATGTATAAAAGCTAAACTGCATTTCATTCAGAGTTATTGTATCCTTAAAATCTAGCTATGAAATGATCAATGGATCCATGAAAAAGAGTTCAACTAGTGGATTCAAATTTAATGGGAAGAAGGCTTAATTTGTTGTTGTTTATTACGTCTTTCAAGGCTCTATTTGAGTATATCATAATCTTGGAACAATTAATTTTTGCAGTGAATGATCCTTTTCCCGCAGCACAGCCCAGATACGAGCGCTTCTTGAACTCTTTCTGTCTCAGCTCACCACAGTGAATCAAGATCATACATGGCAGTTTATATTTTGTTAATTTAGACAACTTCACAAGACAACTTTTTTTGCTATCACCGTAGAATTTCTTCAATAAAAAGTTTTCTGGAACCATTAAAAGTGAAGCATGCTAGGTGTACAACCTATGTGACAACTTGGTTTACATTCAATGAGTTGGCAGACATCCACACCATACATTTCAATTTTTATTATTATTATTATTTTTTTGAATCAATAGCGTGGATTCTAACACCTCATTAGTTGTCAACCAAGTTGTAAAACTTGATTGTACAGCTAGAATAATTCATTAAAAGTTTGTTGTATCAATTCTTTATCATGTCTAAAGTTTACCATTACAAGAAGAGAAATCATCCTTAAGAATACATTGGTCTCATCTAAATGATACATATGTGGGTTTGTTGAATGCTACAAACTACAGGTTCGTCTAGGCCCCTGTTGATTCAAATACAAAAGTGGATTAAAATTTAAGTCAAAATCAACTATTAACTTTATGTATATATTTTATGGATCCACAACTTCAACTACACATTTCATTAATTTTTATCAAAAATCTACAAGATAAAAAATAAAAAATAAAAAATAAATTCAGCTTTTTTATCTAAATCAAACACGAGCTAAAAGTTGTCATAGAATGCTATGAACTATAAGTAATGAGCTATCATGTATGCGTGTACCCTAAATATTACTCTAGAATCTGAAAATAATGGGAATTGATTGTGTTTCACCTCTATATAAACAATGTACGAGTGAACATTTTAACTGAAGAAATAAGGAATCGGAATCGAGGACCAATAATTCACTGGGTTTGTGGACAAAAATCATGAGTACTCCACTCTATCATCGAATTTGTCCTTTTTAGAAGTTTTTTATTCTTAATAATTTATTTATCATGACTAATGATAAGACGAGCTTCTCCATATCGGGGTAGCGAATCTTTCTTGTAGTAGATTGACAATTGTTGATTGCCTTCTTGTAGCTCCCATCTTCCGAAATTACTTAAGTATTGCTATAGAGCTTCTCCACTCCTAGGTTTGGAGAGGAGGAAGGCTTGACCTAATTGATCCTTCAAGACGTGGCGCCTCTTAACATTCCTTCATCTATCAAGACCTTTTTTCCTAGGATTTTAAAGAAGGGGAAGAACTTGTTAGTAGCTTTAGACACAAAACATCTCAATCTGGCTTTAGAAACGAAACAACTTAAGTTTCCATTCGCCTAGTGAGACAATTAATCTTATTGGTTGACCGTGTAGCCTATGAATTTTCCAAAAGCAATGCTAAAGATGCATTTAAAGGGATTCAGCCTTATCTTGTACTTCCTCACAATGTGTAAAGTTTCTTCTAGGTGCTTGATATAGTTGTTATATTCCAGGAATTTCACAACACGTCATCTACATACACCTCTATGGTTATACTCTTCGCTTGATGAGCATTTTGTTCACCAATATCTGGTAGGTGGCTCCATGTTTTTCAAACCCAAAGGATAACTTGGTAGCAATAGAAACCTGTGGTAGTGATAACTGAGTTATGCTCTTCATCAGGAGAGTATATGAGGATCTAATTGTAGCCTAAGTAGGCATCTACGAAGCTTAACAGCTCATATCCAACGGTGACATCTAGATAGTCAATTCTTGGCAAGGGAAAATGTCATTAGAACATGCTTGATCTAAGTTCGAGAAGTCTATACATATCTTCCACTTTCTTTTGGGCTTCTTTACCAAAACTAGGTTGGAAACCTACCCAGGGTATTTGGCCTCCCTAATGGCCATCTGTCACTAGCGTGCTCCTTATTCCTCATCACCCCACACCTTTCCCGGTTCAGGGACCTCCTCTTTTGTCTATGATGACAGAATTTAAGGTTGAATCTTAAGGAATGCCTCATTTTGTTTTCATTGTTGGACCCCCTTTCAATTCAATTGGAAAAGAAAGAAGTTAAGGATGTACTTAATATGTACTTGAATAAAAGTTGAAGGACCAAAATCAAAGTAAATTGAAGTTAAGGATCAAGAATTGAGGAAAGAATGAAGAAGAGGATCAAAATGCAATAATAGAAAGATAGTACAACTGGGCAACTGCCCAATTATGATAGTCGGGCGATCACCGGGCATGAATGATAAAAAACAGGGGCAAAATTACATGCCCAGGTGACTGTCCAGGTTTGGCCTGATCGATCACCCAGGCTACTCGATGCCAAAAATTTATTTTCATTTAAATTTTTTCTTCTAGAAGGTAGTCTTCCTTTTGGGTCTATCTTTCGACAAATTCTGGAGATTTTTAGACACTTTTTAGAGGATAAAAATGTAACGCATTACCATAAAAATAAGGGTTAGAGAATCGATTGCAATAAGAAGCGAAGAACACATCAAAATCAAATCTACGAATTTCAAGATTGAATTCAAGAATATTCGGGAGATGAACAGCTTTAATATCTTTTGTTTTCTTATTTACAACAATTAGGTTGAACAAATTTAGTGCTAGAGTGGTGGCGAATCTTGTGTCATGTACCTTTAATTCTTAGTTTTTCTTTTTCACATTCAGACATGTTTTCAATTATTAAATGATTTTCATAAAATTATTTTCTTCACAATTATGTGCACAATGATTGTATGAATATTGTGGTTTGTTTACTTCGAAAGATGAAAAATAAGTTAGACATATTGTTGATCAAAAATATTCCACTATGCTTTAGTATTTATATATTTTTAATGTATTCTTTTATGTTCACATCATCATAAAAATATAGTCAGACCACATGTAAGAAATTGTTTAATTCTATTCGAGAGAGATTATTAAAAAATTTAAGAATATTGATCTTCATAATTGAATCGTGTTATCAAATTGTAAAGTTAAGGTTAAAGGGGATTGATACACGAGGATTCGGAATCTTAATGAGCTTTCCATCATTACATATTCATCAAATTTGCATGAATCACATATTTGCATTGATTTTAGTTAATTGGGAATTATAATTAGATTATTAAATCACAAGTTAATTATAGAAAAATTCACAAATCTCCATTATTTCAGTTAAGGCTTAGATTATTTGGATTTGAACCAATACAATCTCTGTATATATGATACATGAACACAAAATCTATTTTATTACTTTTTAACAAATCATACACTTATTGTATTTTAAACGAACAATAGTTTTATAACAAGGTACCAAAGTACAATGATACATTAATTATAAGCAAGAGATCTTGCATATATGGGAAGTAAGAATACAGACTGATGGGTAGTAGCTTAATTAGGAAAGAGACATAATGGCTAATTACAAACAGCTAGAAAACGAACTAAATGGAATTGATTTTGCTGTAGGAGATTTTCTTGATAAAATTCCTTACATTGTGCTATGTTTGTGAGGAGAAGATTTGGGCTTTCCATTGAGGTTTTATTAGCTGTCGAGTTTGGTTGAGTTGTTGCAATATTTCAATTTTCACCCTTTACAAGTTGAAGGTAATGACCAAATGTACTCTAGCTTGTCATGATAAAATTTGAATGGAAGCTTTGACAACAGCTTGCTAAAGATGCTGCAATTTGTTGGGCAGATGGAATGTATCTTGTGATGAGTACTCAAACATGCAACTTTTTCTCGAACAAAATGATAATTAGTCTTGATATGTATTTGTTGGATTTTATGCGCAATAATAAAGAGATGAAAAAGAAAATCAACATAAGAATTTATATGATTCGACGGTGTGCCTACATCCACAAGAACGAAACGAAAATAATGTTTATTCAGTAGTAAAAAAATAGGGTTACAACATATTATTTGTACTAGGAAAAATTTCATGTACCAGACAGTAAACAATCCCAATTTCATATTTAAGAGTTTAAGGTTATTGTTTCAAATATAAGAGAATCTTGTGTGTGTCTGTGTGTTATATGGAGAGAGAGAACAAACCGTTACAAACTAATCCCTTAAATCAAGCTCCAGATTCTTTCTGTAACTGGACTCCTATGATTAGAAACTTACTCCATAAAAGCAGTATCATTATTCACCCAGAAGGTTACAAAACATTTACACAGAATTTGTCTCTCTCCATTCCTTTCTGCCGTCGCTGAAACCATAGACCAGTTCACGCCGATTTGTGTCAATATCGTCAAAAAAACCACGAAGACGGTGACTCATCTGCGTTGCGGATCTATAGAAATATAAGATATATAATGTTTCTTTGTTTATGGTTCACCACAGAATATTGCACGGATTGTTCATTTCTGTAATTTAAGTTTCCATG